GGTGGACACAATTTAAAAATATAGAATGTTAAAACATATATTACTTAACATTTAAGGGAAATAATTTAAATAAATAAGAAAACAACACTTTCAATGAAGTTTCAATTATATTTTTCTGTGTTAGCAGCAAAAGATAAACAACGTGACAACTTTATAATTAGTTATACAGTGTTTAAAGTTAACACAAAGACGAGAGCACCATTAGACCTGGACTGTACATAACAATCTCATTTGGAGAAGCATTTACAATCAAGCACATAGGCAGGCTACACCACTAGGAAACAAATATTTATAACAGATTTTTTTTTCAGCTAGGTATTTTGAAATTCCAGGGAAAGTCACATGAACGCCTGATCCTACCCCACCCCCCTACCCCCCACCACAACATACAGTTTTTAGCCCATTCTTCTGAAACATGAAGTGCCAAAATTTTAAAAGGTCAAATTTCAAAGACTATCGATGTTCAAAAATTTCCAATTAAATAATGCATATTTTAAAAAACTTAAAATAAAAAAAATAAAAAACAACCAAATTCTTTGATATTTGAGGATATTAGTTTTTAAAATACCTTGTCTACCATAGGCCTAAAAGAAAATAGGAATTCCTTATTGTTGGGGAAGCTACCATCTTAAAATAGACCCCCCCCCCACCCCACTAACAGTCAATTTTAAAGATTTTATATTTTAATTTTTAGTAAAACCTGATGAAAAACTTAACATTATGAACTAAAACACCATCTTGTGACATAACAGCATCAGTGTTAAGTACAACAAACACCTGACATCAACAGTAAGTTGTATAGTTGTATATATCAACATGTCATATGCTACATAAAAATAACATACTGCATATAGTTTTTTTTTTACAAGTGGAGACAAAGAAATAATTGGATAGAGAGAAAAAAAGTTGTCTATCTAGAAAATAAGAGCAGATGCACAGAGTATAGGTGTTTGTACAGTAAGGGGGAGGGGGGGGGAAAGAAGAGGGGTGTGGAGTGCGTACTAATGCATACTACCAGCTGTATCACAAGGCAGGTGCAGGGGTGATGTCTGCAAGGTGTGACAAGATTTAGGAAGTGACAGCAGTACAAAAAACTTGTTAAATTTATTGTCAAAACAATTTTTTATCCAATTTTTTATAGTAGGGGAGAGCAGTGACACTAAACCAAAAATGCATAAAGGTTGGAGGGGTAAGGTGACACCCTCAGATACCACTCCAGGTAACACCTGACCTTGTGACACCACTGCATACAACAGTGGGCCAAATGCAGAAAATACAGTGCACAAATGAGCTATATGTTGACCGTAGAAGGGGGTGAGATATTGGAAGAAAACTCCAGAAAGCTCGCAATAAAGACCAGAAGAATGAATGATAGACAGCAGTAAATAACAGACAATTCAGTGGTCATTAAATGTTTCTGCTGTACTACTTAAATATACATCCTAATAGTAGATGTTGCTATGCTATTAAAATATTTATTTATAATTATATGGTAGATATTGAGATATCACTAAAGTATTTACCCAAAAGGTAGATGGATGATGCTAAACTAAAAAAATATTTATCCAAATGTAAATATTGCTGTTTTAATTTATACTGTATTTTCCGAAGTAACAAAGTTTAACTCCTTCCTACCCACTGTGACTGCAGAAAATGTGCCACAAAGATTTACATAGGATTGACATCTGACATATAACTGTAAAACTCTAGTAGAGAAAGATATTATTATGCTTCACTGTCATATGGACGGCAATACAGATGTGGAAACTAGAGGTAAAATTTCTTGAACCCAGCAAGTGAAAGCAAATGTGGAGAGCTGTAAAATAAATGTGTGGTAAGACAACCCGCGTGTACAACATGTGCAACAAGTGGCATGGAAACAGCTAGATCACTCAACAATTTAAAAGTAGGGATGACACCCTTATACAGCTAGATCACTGAATGATTAAGGTGCAGATAGCGAAGATATAAAGGTTATGGATAACACCTTTATACAACTAGATCACTCAATGATTTAAAAGGTTATGGATAACACCTTTATACAACTAGATCACTCAATGATTTAAAAGGTATGGATAACACCTTTATACAACTAGATCACTGAATGATTAAGGTGCAGATAGCAAAGCTGTGAAACACAACAGGAACATTCTCGGAGAAGTTACTCATTTTCTTGAACTGTGAAAACAATCTGAATTTAATTTCTGACAAATTTTTATAATCAATTAAAATTAATAATGTACAAAAATATTTTTGAATAAATGAAAATTGCCAGATAGCAGCATTTAATGTGAAGTTTACTTAAAATTTTGGCTTGCCATGATGGACACCAATTTGTTTTCAAATTGAATTGACTTAAATTCACCACAATTAGTGACAGTTTTGAAAGATAACTGGATATCACATTTTTAAAAATGGGTTGCTTAAGTAAGGCAGTTTAAGAAAATCTGTTTACAATGAAATCACACACAGAAATTTAGTGAAGCTTATTATCCACTGATAGGATTTCAGTATCATGGAGAAATCTGTGATGACTAGATGGAAATCTTCTGGCAAAAAGATAAGTTTTGTCTAGGCAGAAGTTACAGAATTGGCTGAAACATAGCAGTACTTTTTCAAAGCCAGCAGTACATTGATACAGGTCTACAAATATGTGGTTTTTGGTTAATAATTACTTCTTTACAAGCACTTCTTCATTGATAAAATAATTTTAAAAAGGTATATTATATGTACACACTAATGAATATTATTCTTGACATTTTTAAAATTAATTTTTTTTTGTCACTACTTTTTGATCTCTAAACAGAAAAAAAAGAATTATACACAGAAATAAACGATGATTGAAGATACCAATGTCAGAAAATTGACTCTTCCAAATTTAAAAAAAATTTAGGTTTGTTGGGTTGTTTCTAGTAATCTCAACTAGTTTTATGGTTAGAAATTAGGGTTAAGAAATTAGGGTTTAGGCTTGTAATAGGACCAGGGTTGGGGATAGGGTTAGCATTGACATTAGCAAGCCAACTGTGTATTTTACTCTTAACTACCAGTAACCGTACACCCACTTTTTTAAGAAGATTCAATTATCGGACACTGGTATAAAAATTTCCCTGAAATAAAAAATAGTGATAATTTTTTATACATACTGTTTAGTTAGTAACGAGACATGATTACATCAAAATGTTCACATCAACCCAAGCATTGTTTTCAAATTTAAAAAAATAATTGAATATCAGACTTAACAGGGATATGATTTAAACCAATAAAATATACTGATACTGGACTGAAAAAATAATTTAAAAAACTTACATGACAATTAGAACTGGGAACTTACAAGCAGAAAAACTATTATAGAATCATAAAGAAAAGTCTAACAATGACATGTATATTGTTACCTATCACGGCTCTAATTCAGTAGACATTTAGCTTTTAGCCACATGCCTTAGTTTGTTTTTTAGCCCTTCTCAGGCTGTAAGATTGTAAGTTCTTTAACACTATCGACCTTATGTTGATAGCCTTGAAAGGTACATCTGAGTTAAGACGTTAACACAATCAAATCTACAACATAAGCTCGCAATAATAAAATAAACAATCACCAGTTAATACAAGTTGGAGAAATTAAAATATTTTCAGTAAAACGGATTAAACACCACATACTTTGATTACTATTATTGATTGTATTCAGCTTGAGTAATGTGATTAAGTAATTAATCATCTCTTTTAAAATTTGTGGTTTACAATCAAGATTGACCAGCACAGTGAAACTAAAAGCAACACAAGCCTCATTTTTGTATCATCCAATGTACCCAGATGTGGCAGCGACAATACAATGTTTGGCACAGAGGGCTAACGTTAAGTACAGGAGACAGCAACAGTTTTACAACACAAACATCACTATCACAAAACAAAGCTCTAACATCACTATCAAAAAACAGTTACATTTTTCTAGTCTATAAAAATTAGAGATTCTTGTTAGAGATTAAGTAATTAATCATCTCTTTTTAAAATTTGTGGTTTACAATCAAGATTGACCAGCACAGTGAAACTAAAAGCAACACAAGCCTCATTTTTGTATCATCCAATGTACCCAGATGTGGCAGCGACAATACAATGTTTGGCACAGAGGGCTAACGTTAAGTACAGGAGACAGCAACAGTTTTACAACACAAACATCACTATCACAAAACAAAGCTCTAACATCACTATCAAAAAACAGTTACATTTTTCTAGTCTATAAAAATTAGAGATTCTTGTTAGGCAGTAAGAAAGACGAGTCAAGTAAATATAATCTCCTAAATGATGATGTATTTATGATTAAAGAAAGAGACTTGAGTATTCATAATCTTCAAATCAAAGACGCTACATGTTTAGACAACCTAAAAACATGACCTTCAACATTAATTGTATGTAACAAACAATTCAACATGGAAATAAACAGGTGCTAATTATTAAAACAGAAAAAAAATTTTTTTCTTTCTTCTAATGGTATTAAAAATTTGATAGATTACTAAAGTTTACTTTCTAAAACAAAAACTTATTTGAATTTCTTATTTTTATGAGTAGTAAATTACTGATAATTTAATTAAAAAATGGAATTAAAAATTGTTATTTAGTAATGTACAGTGTATGTCACAAATGTTAGTAAATACAGAAGAATAAAAATACACTGACAAAAATTAAAATAAACATACAAAAGATTATTTGTATACAGCCATATTCTTCAACTTCAGTATTACAGAAATTAATTCTCTCATAGTGATATCACATGCAAATTAAATAGTATATTAAACCAGTGGCGTAGCGAGGTCGGGTGTCACCCCCTCCCCCCAGAGGCGTAGCGACCCTTTTCGGGGACAAACTTTCAAATTTTTTATTTGCACCCCCCGCCCCCCTCAAATTTTTCTCTATATAATTTGCTATTTTTTGCCTTGGTGTCACCCCCCCCACGCCTCTGTATTAAACCAAATATAAGAAAATAGTTAACAATTTTTAAGTGCTAAAATGTTGATTAGTTTTCAACTGTTTAAGTATATCTAAGAGAAAGACTTTAAAGAATGTTCATTAAAGAGAAAAATTGTGATTATGCTACTCATTAAGCAAAATCAAAAACAGTGATGGTTATAATTTTATTTTTTCCCCCCATCTATTATGTAAAATTTTATTGTAAAATATTGATTATACAACTCTTCCAACTTAAACTGCCATACAATTATTTGTGTGCTTTAAGTTAGATAAAAAAATATCATATTAACAGTTCCATGAACACATTTTAAAATATAAAGAGGTAAGCTGCATGCAGCGCTACAAATTTTACAGTTCAGTTTGTAAATAAATTTTAAAAATAAATAAAAATATCCTAAATTACATTCACATATCACATCATTTTGTCCATGTTAGTTTACAATAAGCTGGCTTTGTTAGTAATTACTAATTAGTAGTATCACACAAATAAAGAATATTATGATATATAAATATTATTTGATTGGCAAAATAAAGTGTGTGGTTCAACTATTATTTTTTTAATTTAGAAGATACAAAAACAAAACAGGTTGCAAGTAATAATGCAAAAACTAGGGACATTGTTTTTTTAGGGTTTGATTTTAAAAACAAAACAACTAAAAATATCAATTAAAAACTAGGACTGATTCAATATGAAACAAACATCGGCAAATCCATTTAAAAATGGTATTGCTGGAGGTAAAGAGGTAAAAATAGCATGCATGAATCACAAGGCTAAAAGACTAATGGTTAAAATTCATAACAAGCATTAAAAAAATACATTGAAATACTTGTCCTAATTATTAATTAAACAAAATACAATTGCCAACTTTGTGAGGCTTTGATTGTAAGTTACCAACATTTTAAGAATGTAAACAATAAATAAACTGTGACACAATATTGCAACATTACTCATCAGATGGTGCACTGGCCCCACTAAGTTTTTTACTGTCAGGATCTTGACTGAAGTTGTTGATGTAAGTGGCGATGTAGTCGTAACCTGCTTCTACTGCTAGCTCTGATGGGGTCTGTCCCTCCTTGGGAAAAAAACAAACAAACAACAAAATGAATAAATACTCTAAAATATAAAATCATGATTTTTTTCAATATTGTTTCTTTTTATTTCTCTACCACTATAATGATACTTTGAACATATTTTTCCCTATTAAACATCTGGAAAATCTTAAGAAGTGCAACAACAAGACAGAAGTGGTGTATCAAACAAAGGAACAAATATCAGATCAGGTAAGTGTAATTATGGCAAGCCATTTAGATGTGTGTAGGCCTACTTGTCTAATATTACATCAGGTAGGGTTGTAAAATATCCTGGGATGCATGAAATTGGTGCCGCCTATGTGTACTTGTCTAATATTACATCAGGTAGGGTGGTAAAATATCCTGGGTTGCATGAATTTGGTGTGTATAATTATTGTACAAGTACCTTGTTTTTAATATCAGCTCTGACCCCTGATTGTAACAAAAGTCTGACAGCCTTTGAGTGGCCAAATAAAGCAGCAGCATGTAAAACTGTTTCCCCATTCTGAAAGTAGAGTCAAATGTGAACATTAGGTAGGCAGAATCAAATGTGACAATTAGGTGTGGTTTCAATGTAAACATTAGGTAGGTAGAGTCAAAAGTAAACATTAAGTTAGTAGATTCAAATGTACACATTTAGTGTGGTTTCAATGTGATATTAGGTATGTGTGGTTTCAATGTGATATTAGGTAGGTGTGGTTTCAATGTGATATTAGGTAGGTGTGGTTTCAATGTGATATTAGGTAGGTGTGGTTTCAATGTGATATTAGGTATGTGTGGTTTCAATGTAATATTAGGTAGGTGTGGTTTCAATGTAATATTAGGTAGGTGTGGTTCAATGTAATATTAGGTAGGTGTGGTTTCAATGTAATATTAGGTAGGTGTGGTTCAATGTAATATTAGGTAGGTGTGGTTTAAATGTGATATTAGGTAGGTGTGGTTTCAATGTGATATTAGGTAGGTGTGGTTTCAATGTGATATTAGGTAGGTGTGGTTTCAATGTGATATTAGGTAAGTGTGGTTTCAATTTGTACATTACATAGGTGTAGTTGTAAAGTAAAAATTAAGTTGGAGTAATTCATACATTAGAAAAGGCAACGAAAACAAAGTAACTGTTTTTAAAAATGTCTAAATCCACAGCACACCCACCTTAAGCACTCCAAGATTTGGTTTATGTTTAAGAATTTCAGTGATTGTATCTAAGTGACCTTTATGACAGGCTTTAAATAAAGGGGTCGCTCCATCCTAGAGAAGTAAAACATTCAGCGTGACTTAAATTACAACTGAAATGTCACTAAGTACAACCATCATTAAAATTAATAAAGTAAATAAACACAAGTAAAGGTACTTAAGTTGTTTATATTTAGTTTAAGAATTAATTATCAAAACATGCAGTAGCTAATGCGGGTGGGGATGAAATAAAGATACCTGTACAGTCCCAATATTTGGAAAGATGTTTTTATATAGTAAACTCAAAACAATAAAACTACAAAATAAATCAAGAAAAAAACTTGAAAGCAGACATGCTTGCCTACCTCTCTCATTGCATCAACATCAGCACCAGCTAGCAACAATTCTCTCACAACATCCGTGTGTCCCTACCTCTCTCATTGCATCAACATCAGCACCAGCTAGCAACAATTCTCTCACAACATCCGTGTGTCCCTACCTCTCTCATTGCATCAACATCAGCACCAGCTAGCAACAATTCTCTCACAACATCCGTGTGTCCCTACCTCTCTCATTGCATCAACATCAGCACCAGCTAGCAACAATTCTCTCACAACATCCGTGTGTCCCTACCTCTCTCATTGCATCAACATCAGCACCAGCTAGCAACAATTCTCTCACAACATCCGTGTGTCCCATCTGAGCAGCAATCCACAAGGGACTGGCCATATCCTACAATAGGTTTTACACAAAACATTAGCTTAGTCATATTGTATCATTTAATGTTAACATCTCAGACAAACATACTTATCAATGAAAATGTTAGCTAACAAAATACAATATTAGCTAAAGAATTCTTTGGATAAAAAATCAAAATAGTTTTCAAAATATAATGTTTTAAAAACCTTCAATTTAAATTATTTAATTATACAATATCAATTACAATAGCCCTGAAATTGATTATACTTTGAGAGATAATAAGAACTAAACATGCATACAAAACTAAAAGGTTTCTTGAATCACTGACTTTTCTCGTCATATTTGCATCAGCTCCTTTAGAAAGAAGAAACTTCAACAGCTCAGCGTGTCCATTTTGCGCTGTGATGAACAAGGGGGTGGCGCCATCTATCATCTGAGCGTGGATGTCGGCTCCCCTAGACAGCAGCTCTGACACAACATCCTCGTGGTTACACTGGCAAGCAACAAACAGCGGCGTGCCTCCATCCTAGGGGACAACAACAGGAGGGTCAACATATTGTGATGGTCATTTGACAGGTGGGGGGGTCAACTTACTGTGGTGGTCATTTGACAGGGGGGTCAACTTATTGTGGTGGTCATTTGACAGGTGGGGGGGGGTCAACTTATTGTGGTGGTCATTTGACATGGGGGTCAACTTATTGTGGTGGTCATTTGACATGTGGGTCAACTTAATGTTGGACATTTGACAGGGGGTCAACTTAATGTGGTGGTCATTTGACAGGGGGTCAACTTAATGTGGTGGTCATTTGATAGGAGGGTCAACTTATTGTGGTGGTCATTTGACATGATGGTCAACTTATTGTGGTGGTCATTTGATAAGAGGGTCAACTTAATGTTGGACATTGGACAGGGGGTCAACTTAATGTTGGACATTTGACATGATGGTCAACTTATTGTGGTGGTCATTTGACATGATGGTCAACTTATTGTGGTGGTCATTTGACATGATGGTCAACTTATTGTGGTGGTCATTTGATAAGAGGGTCAACTTAATGTTGGACATTGGACAGGGGGTCAACTTAATGTTGGGCATTTGACATGATGGTCAACTTATTGTGGTGGTCATTTGATAAGAGGGTCAACTTAATGTTGGACATTGGACAGGGGGTCAACTTAATGTTGGGCATTTGACATGATGGTCAACTTAATGTTGGACATTTGACAGGAGGGTCAACTTATTGTGGTGGTCATTTGACATGATGGTCAACTTATTGTGGTGGTCATTTGACATGATGGTCAACTTATAGTGGTGGTCATTTGACATGATGGTCAACTTATTGTGGTGGTCATTTGATAAGAGGGTCAACTTATTGTGGTGGTCATTTGACATGATGGTCAACTTATTGTGGTGGTCATTTGATAAGGGGGTCAACTTAATGTTGGACATTGGACAGGGGGTCAACTTAATGTTGGACATTTGACATGATGGTCAACTTATTGTGGTGGTCATTTGACATGATGGTCAACTTATTGTGGTGGTCATTTGATAAGAGGGTCAACTTAATGTTGGGCATTTGACATGATGGTCAACTTAATGTTGGACATTTGACAGGAGGGTCAACTTAATGTTGGACATTTGACAGGGGGGTCAACTTAATGTTGGACATTTGACAGGAGGGTCAACTTAATGTTGGACATTTGACAGGGGGATAAACACTTACAAAACTAGCCAGGTCAACACTGGCATTATGTTCCAATAAAACTTTGACCACATCAATGAACCCTCCCTGGCACGCAAAAAACAGTGCACATGTCCCTGTCTGTAAAAAAACAAAACAAATTCATTAATCAAGCATTAAAACATCAAGATGGGATAATTATTTATTTCCAAGAGCAACCAAAACTAGTAAGCGCCTTTGAATGTTAAATTTTGATATTCCCTGCTGGGGCATGTAATATACTAGGGTTCAATAACGCCAAATTAATGGTATCTTCTTAATGGAATCTTCTTAAACAAGGGGTGTTAGGTCATTGGTAGTAAACTCAATACTAATATAACACCCAACAGTATATCACAATACTAATTCAATATTACTGCTACCAAAAACCTAACAACCTATTATCAGAGTCAATTGTCAGACATCAATATCACCAATACGTCTTGCTCGGTTAAGAACTAACTGAAATTTTAAAATATATCAGACTATCTATTTAAAGTAAAATATAATAAAATATATCAAACGTCATAAATTAGGCGAACTATAAAGTGTATAACATAAACAGATCTGACTATTCAGAAAGACATACCAGCCTTCTAGCGTTGGGATCTGCCCCCTGTTGTAACAGTTCCTTCACACATTCTACATGGTTGTTGGCAGCAGCAAGGATCAGGGGCGTTGTCCCCTCCTGGTGATGGAAAACAGATTACATGTTATTATAGAATACGTTCAATATTGGTTTTGACAGCAGCTAGAGTCAGGGGTGTCCTTTAATAGTAAGCCTGTACACAAACAGCAGCTAGAGTGAGGGGTGTCCTTTAATAGTAAGCCTGTACACAAACAGCAGCTAGAGTGAGGGGTGTCCTTTAATAGTAAGCCTGTACACAAACAGCAGTTAGAGTGAGGGGTGTCCTTTAATAGTAAGCCTGTACACAAACAGCAGCTAGTGTCAGGGGTGTCCTTTAATAGTAAGCCTGTACACAAACAGCAGCTAGAGTAAGGGGTGTTCTTTAGTAGTAAGCCTGTACACAAACAGCAGCTAGAGTGAGGGGTGTCCTTTAATAGTAAGCATGTACACAAACAGCAGCTAGAGTCAGCGGTGTCCTTTAATTAATAGTAAGCATATACACTACAAACAGCAGCTAGAGTGAGGGGTGTCCTTTAATAGTAAGCATGTACACAAACAGCAGCTAGAGTGAGGGGTGTCCTTTAATAGTAAGCCTGTACACAAACAGCAGCTAGAGTAAGGGGTGTCCTTTAATAGTAAGCCTGTACACAAACAGCAGCTAGAGTGAGGGTGTCCTTTAATAGTAAGCCTGTACACAAACAGCAGCTAGAGTAAGGGGTGTCCTTTAATAGTAATTAATAGTAAGCATGTACACAAACAGCAGCTAGAGTGAGGGGTGTCCTTTAATAGTAAGCCTGTACACAAACAGCAGCTAGAGACAGGGACGTCGTCCCTTCATGTCGATAGACTGCAGATTTAACCTCACTAAACAATTAAACAGTTCAGCTATCCCCTACATCAGAGCCGGCTGAACATCTGAGAACACGAAATTGTTTACATCAAACACAGCCAAGGGGAGAGCACTGTTGTTGGTACTTCTTAAAACGTCAGTACTCGATTCTATTTTGCTGGTATCGCTACCCTAATCCTGATTCGTTAACAATTATTACAGACCCTAAAATCCCAACTAGATCTAGATCTAGATTTATGACGCTTAAGATTACACAAGAAAAAACCAACTTGATAGGATAGACTTGCACACGGTATTGTCCTGTCCGTAACGTATTCAATTAGAGTAGACGGATTCATTTTTAAATTTTAGCGCTGAAGTTACATAAACAATGTTTATGTAACATCAGCGAAAACATCTCGTGTGAGAACCGTTAAAGACGGGAGGAGGAGAAGAGGTGGGAGGAAACGAAAAAGAGTGTGAAAGACGGAGCGGAAATGATGTTAAAAAAAATACAACACCAAAGGTGAGTGGAAGCTTACACGGACCGCTTGTTCAGGTAACTGCTCACACAGTCACCATCGGGAAAATCCATACAAGTTCAAATTTTAAGCCTCGGAATAAAAAAAAAGCCTGTCAAGTCAAATGTGTTTTTTAGGAGTGGGAGTAGAAAAGAGTAGGTGGTGGGGGCGGAGTCAGAGGGTGGAGAAAATGAATTCAACTGAACACGAAGCAAGAGTTTTCTCTTGTAGTAAATGCTATAGATGCGTCGAAAAACCTGGGATATATTTTGATTAAACAAGCTTTGGGGGTAGTAACAACCGACTTTAGAAAATTAATTCTGGTAGACGTGTGTATGTAATAAATGATAGCTCCAGCTTTATACTTGATGCGAACTCAAGGCCTCGTATTGACACAGGCTTAAGTCAGGATCAACGGTCGTGTCCCCCCCCCCCACATACGTGCTGTGAGATGGATGGACTGTCCAGCGGCGGGTACCCCAGAGTTTTCACTCAATAAATAACGAAACTAAGCCGGGCTACAAACGCGATGCCAAGTTTCATGTCGGTTAAAACTTGCCAGCGTTTCTAGGTCCAAACGTAAAGTACAAGTTTTAATGAAGTTCAGAAGACAATGTTTCAATTGATTCTAGAATCTACATTTTAAAAACTTTTTAACGTAAGCGCATTGTTTATCATCGACTGACAGCTAAGATCACTATACTTATACCCTACCGCATGTCCACTTTTCACCGTCAAGCAGACGATTACAAGATCAAAAGTTATTGGTTAGGTTACAGTTTAAGAGTGTTGCTTCTTCTTAATTATAATACAGGACGGGATTTCCTCCAACTCAGGCGCCATATTATTAGGCCGCCGACTCAGACTTCAGCATGTCTGTCTTTCCATTGTTCCACCCAAGAACTTTCTGCAAGGTATCAGTTCTTTTTTTATTTTGGAGTTCTCTCTCCTAGAACCCAACGAACCTCATCTGCCCGGGATCCGAAATCAGGACATACGCTTTCCCGCCCGACGATGCCGTGCCATCTAAGAGCTAGTTTAGATTTGATGACCAATACATCTAATTTAGATTTGATGATCGATGCAGCTAGTTTAGATTTGATGATCGATGCAGCTAGTTTAGATTTGATGACCAATACATCTAATTTAGATTTGATGATCGATGCAGATTTTTCCTTACTAGGTATGCCTACATATAAACCAACTCCACGGAATAACTATAACGAAAACATCGATACGATGAAGACCATGATATAAATATTTGAAATACGTGACCAATGAGAAATAGTTACTTAGTTGGCTGGACTTTACACGTCAACAACGTCTTGAGAGTAAACAGTCCATGTATCAGTTATCTTTGTCTGCCAAGTGTTGATCTCTATACCCGTATCTTGCTAACCAGATTGTTTACACATAGATCTACTAGTGTACCGTTTTCTATACCAGGGGTCTCCAAACTACGGCACGCGGGCCGGATGCGGCCCGCGAGGTCCTCTCGTCCGGCCCGCGGAGATCTTTTTGTTCACGGAAAAAAAATGATTTTAGAAGTGGCTGAGGAACTTTCCTCAGAAATTTTAAAACAATTTGAATATGTAGCTATGAGTGCAAATACCATTGCCCTCCGCGTTGCAGACATTGTGACTCAAATAGTGAAAACTGCTAATAAGTGTCACAATTTTCCAATTGCAATGGATGAGTCGCTAGACAGTTGTTCCATGTTTTTGGAACAAATACAGGGCCACAACTTGACGCACTTTCAGCAGTGCAAGGTCTTCATGGCTGAAGCAACAGCTGAGTTCCCCACATCATTTGCATGCGAGATCATCAAGGACCTCCAGCTGCAGTTTTAGTAGCGGTTTTCTGACTATGACTCAAAGGCAGATGAAGTGATACTGTTTCAATACCCATTTGAAGCAAATGTAACCAGTTGCCCAGATGAACTGCAGATGGAGGTCATTGAATTGCAAGCAAATGACTTCCTTAGAGACAAGTTCAAAAAATGGCGGGTGGGTTTTTGTGTTTGCCCAAGGAGAACAGACTTAGACCTCGAGTGTATTGTCGGCCCCCGACAGTGTTTCTTTCAGATATTTTCTCCTTTAGAGGGGTGCATTTAAAATGTGTATATATTTCTATATAAATTATATTTCGTTGGGGAGGGAGGGGGCACCGGGCACACCGCCAACCCAAAGAGATGCATGGAAGAAACTCTGGCCCCCGAACTGATATTTGATTGTTAATGCGGCCCTCGGGCTGAAAAGTTTGGAGACCCCTGCTATACAATGAACAGAAAGAACAGTACCTGAAACAATTAGCTGATTTATGTCTTTTATTTTTAGCATCAAAGAGCAATAACCCACGGTAGAGTGACTTAAGTCCCCTGTCTCCATGGAATCATCATAAACTTGAGTCTGTTATCGAGCACCAGATGGGAAACTCGATTGTTATGCGAGTCATAAAACCACAGCCTCTAAAGTGAGAGCAATCGTTGCTTCTAAATGGGGCTGTATTCGTGCCCGTCCGGCATACATTCGCCCGATACAAAACATGCTCACACCGGCAAGATCGATGTGATTAGACACAAGTGACCTCACCACACAACTGTTGTGACAGTGGATGTTTGAAATTAGGGCTGCGGAAATAATCACGTCCAGTATAGACTTACCAAACGTGGTTCAGTGACCAAGGAGTTACCTCACGACAATAAAACAAGTTTGGGACTACACGTCTTGACATCTACTAATGGCCCGATTAAATCCACCTCATAATGCTGCAGGCATTTCATAACATACCATAAAACTAGTTTAAGACTACACCTTTTACCATCTACTAACGCCCCGTTCAAATCACCCCCATAATGCTGCTCATCCCATGCAATAAAGCAAGTCTGAGACTACACCTTTTACCATCTACTAAAGCCCCGTTCAAACCACCCCCATAATGCTGCAGGAGTCTCTTCCCATACAATAAATTCAATAAATACCAGGGACCTGGCATTCTCCCACATTAAGTTTCGGGTGCAGGTATTTCAAATATTTTTTGGCTTCGTCATATCTTGTAAATGTGGTAGATAGCGATACTGGGACAATTACCACGATTTAAATTTTTTAACGTTTTTTCTTGCACTTCATTCCTAAATTAATGTAAATATAAATCTACGGCGCCTTATGTTGTTACATGATATTGCAAACTAAAATAAACAAATAAAAACCAACGAGAGTATTTCTAAAATATTTTTAAAGAGCAGTTTAAAAATATAATGTACAATTTGGGCATTAAAAAAACAAAAAGAAAACGTTGACTTAATGATAATAAAAAAAAAGTCTTATAATGAAGACTGAAAGAGCAGCTAACATACAGGTAAGAAAAGCCGTGTGCCGTTTTGAAATTTAGCACAATTAAAGATAACCACATGTGCTAAAGAAAACCTACGTCACAGTACAAAAGATGGATCTATTAACTGCTGACGGAAGGAAACCCGGTAGTGTTAGATGGAGGAAACGGTCGTTGACTAGATCCGAGGGATGGTTGGCGGGGAGAATCACTGCTCAGTGATGTATGGAGAGGTAACTGTCAGGAGTGGTGTTTTAAAAACATGAACAGTTATATCTCAAGGAACAACATACTACCAAACCACACATACGTACTACCAAACCACACAGATGTACTACCAAACCACACAGACGTACTACCAAACCACACAGATGTACTAC